TGCGTCACACTGACCCTGCACTTTGCGTCACACTGACCCTGCTCTTTGCGTCATACTGACCCTGCACTTTGCGTCACACTGACCCTGCACTTTGCGTCACACTGACCCTGCACTTTGCGTCACACTGACCCTGCACTGTGCGTCACTCTGACCTCTGCGCTGTGGGTCACTATGATCTCTGCGCTGTGGGTCACTATGACCTCTTCGCTGTGCATCACACTAACCTCTGCACTGTGCGTCACTCTGACCCTGCTCTGAGCGTCACTCTGACCTCTGCGCTGTGCGTCACTCTGACCTCTGCGCTGTGCGTCACTCTGACCTCTGCGCTGTGCATCACTCTGACCTCCGCTGTGCGTCACTCTGACCTCTGCGCTGTGCGTCACTCTGACCTCTGCCCTGTGTGTTACATTACTGACCTTTGCGCTGTGCTTTACATTACTGACCTGTGCGCTACATTACTGACCTGGCGGAGTTAAGGCCGGGGCAGGGTAGGGGTTAGGTGGGGCAACTGGTGGCAAGTAACTTTTAAGGCCTGGCTAGTAGCTCAGGATTTGAAATTTTGAGCCCTGCATTATACATTAATGCAGAATAATAGTATATGAATTTGCTACATACTTTGTGCTGTTGCTCTGCTCTGGGGTGCCGGCCTGACGACTCGGGTGGAGTATCTCAGTAGTGGTGCAGAGGGTCTTAGGAGAGGGAAGATGTGCGGGCTAGAGGAAGCATTGTAAACAGGCACCGTGTGGTTCCCAAGAAGGCTGTTGCGAGTTCCACAGCAAGCGAGTGACAGTCACTTCAGTTTGAAACTTGAAAGCGCTGGTATTGGGGCATTTTCACAAGTACAACTATTAATGAAAATGACCAGTATCTGCACCGATACCAATACGGATATCGGTATCAGTACATTCCTAATTACAATGAGTATTCAGTTCACTGATTCGCAGTATAATGTTATTTACCGTCAGGCTGAACCCAGTACTCTCCAACGCAATAAGCTCAGGGCTCGGGAACACAATGGAATCAGCGCTCTGCGGCGCAAGCGACTCAGGGCTGTGCGATGAAATGGCGCAATGGACTCACGGCTGTCCGATGAAATGGCGCAATAGACCCAGCGGTTGGCGTTATATGGTGCCAACCCATCAGAGACCGCCATACAGAATGCCATTAGAGACATCCAGCAGCAGGATGAGCAACAGGAGAGAGAACTAGAGCGGCAATATGAGTGGAGAATGGCGCAACTACGGCAATCAGAGATAACACCTAGGGATACAGTGCCTTTCCGTAAGTCAGTTGGAGACTGGTTTCAGCAACGGGTTCGACAGCGGTTGACATTATATGGTGCCAACCCATCAGAGACCACCATACAGAATTAGGACTGGAGGAAACAACCCTGCAGTGGCCACAGGCTTGAGAGCCCCAGCACCTCCGTGCTGCTTGGGGAACAGTATAGCGCCCCCCCCAACCAAGTCCTGGTCGGGCCCCCCTGCTTCCCGGGCTCCATAGCGCCCCTGGGTAGACTACATTCTCGGTCTCCCTTTTCAAGCCCGGCCGCACACCTATCCCCCTGCCCCACCCAGAGCAGGCCATGGGGTATAGCGGGCTAGGCGGAGCCGAACACAATCAGGCTGATTGTGTTCGGCCCAGCCCACCAGGAAAGTGCCCGGTCTGCCCCATGGCTAGTCCGGCCCTGGCTATGACATATACCACAGTGCTATACAGAGAACACTGCGAAAGGCATATCAGTCTCTGTACACAGGAGCTTACACTCTAATGCAGAATGGCACCAGCTGTAGGGAGACTACAAATCCCAGTAATACATTTATACAGTAATGCAGAACAGTATATGAGTTGGACTCAGGGACTGGTAACGCGCCAGACTCAGGGACTGGTAACGAGCCAGACTCAGGGACTGGTAACGCGCCGGATTCAGAGACTGGTAACGTGCCGGATTCAGAGACTGGTAACGTGCCGGACTCAGGGACTGGTAACACGCCGGACTCAGGGACTGGTAACGCGCCGGATTCCAGGACTGGAAACGCGCCGGACACAAGGACTGGAAACGCGCCGGGCTCAGTAACGCGCCGGGCTCAGTAACGCGCCGGACTCTGGGCTTAGTAACGCGCCAGACTCTGGGATTAGTAACGTGCCGGACTCTGTGCTTGGTAACACGCTGGACTCTGGGCTTAGTAACGCACTGGACTCTGGGCTTAGTAACGCGCTGGACTCTGGGCTTAGTAACGCGCTGGACTCTGGGCTTAGTAACGTGCTGGACTCTGGGCTTAGTAACGTGCTGGACTCAGGGCTTAGTAACACGCTGGACTCTGGGCTTAGTAAGTGCTCTTTCTGCCCTATGGCCAGTCCGGCCCCGACCCAAAAGACCTCTGTGCTACATGCACCCCCCAACTCTGCTCTGTGCTACATGCACCCCCCAACTCTGATCTGTGCTACATACACCCCCCAACTCTGCTCTGTGCTACATACACCCCACAACTCTGCTCTGTGCTACATACACCCCCCAACTCTGATGTGTGCTAAATATACCCCCAACTCTGCTCTGTGCTACATATACCCCCAACTCTGCTCTGTGCTACATATACCCCCAACTCTGCTCTGTGCTATATACACCGGCGGTAATCAGAAAGATGTGTTTTTACCACAGAAGGTTAAAACGAAGTGCAGCTAGTAAACAGGGTCGGAGAGTCAAAATGAAGTACAAAAAAGTAGTTTATTATTAAAACAATTGTCTAGTAGTTAACCAGATGCACCATTAGAACCAACAAAACCCAACACAATAAAAAAATTGTTATTGCAATAAAGCGTAATATATGATTCCGGCTGGTCCTCAAGTAGTTTGAGGAAACAGCGCTTGGACTATAATTGTAGAAAGAACTTAATGTCAAATGCCTGGGATATCTGTTCTATTGTATCTAAGTATTTCTGTACATTTATAAAGGTAATGATTTCGTGAGTTGGTAGTATCATTAATTAAGTGTTTCGAATAGTCTTAATTCTTAAAGTGGAAGCAGGTAGTGATCAAAGTAAGGTGCTTGATTGGAGATCAATCTTTAAGAGTACAGAGACATAGATGGAAGTCCGATGATACAAGGAGAAGTGTAAACCTCAATTGTAGTCACACTTAACCAAACAAATGTATAGAGTCTCGAATATATTGTACTCACAAGTGTTTGGTTGCTTTAAACTGGCAGTCCGTCTTTCAGTATATGATATGGCTCGATGCTGCAATACTCCAATTTGTCCTCATTGATGTTTCCACTTGCAGAGGAAATTAGAAAATTCTCTGATGGTTTCCTTCAAAGTGTGAAGGCGTAGTACAAGGTCCCAGATGCAATTGAATTTTGTCAGTAATCCTTCATCCCGCTGTTTGTGTAAACCACGACCGGGAAGTTGTGTACCTGACATGCAGGTAATCAGTCAGCTTGACGCCCAAAATCGGATGACGTGTTTCGCCCCTCCTTCGTTAACGGGGCTTCGTACTTCATTTTGACTCTCCGACCCTGTTTACTAGCTGCACTTCGTTTTAACCTTCTGTGGTAAAAACACATCTTTCTGATTACGTCCTGTGTCAGCAGCTGGGGGTTGTTTGTTTTGAGAGTCATGAAAGAGTGAAATATACTCTGACTTATCTCGGGTGTGGTACTCTGGGTACAATATCCTCTTTTTCTATATACACCGACGGCCCTGAATATATCTATTTAGCTGTTTCCTGGAGTTTAGCTTTAAAACACAACATTTCTCAATGTAAAAATATGTCATGACTGGAAGTAGGGATCTGTGGTCCTCTGAAAGTATGGTATGACAAGTATGGTGTGACTTTTGTAATTACAAACATGCAATGTTTCATGAATATATCATATTTTTCATGTAGCCGAGGAGGACGAAAGGAAGAATGAGAATTCACTGTTTGGAAAACGTAGACAAAGCCCTTCATTTTCTCAAGGAGCAGAGGGTACATCTTGAAAACATTGGTCCCCATGACATTGTGAATGGTAACCACAGGTTAATACTGGGGCTCATCTGGACCATCATATTACGTTTCCAGGTATGTCTTATTTTTAAAAAAACTCCAAGTTGTGTAGTGTTGGAACTTCTTGCACAGCCTCACAGAGAAACACAAGCATACAGTCAGATATGCATGCTGCACATGGCTTGGAAAACAGGAAGGAAGCCACAACTTTATTCTCTACCTTATTCAATACAAGTAAAACAGAGTATATACCATAGATATAACAGAACTTATAAACACTGCAGGAGTTATTGCAATAGATACAATGATGTGTATTCTAACATGTAGTAATTGACCTGAGTGAATCAGTTACCGTATATACTCGAGTATAAGTCGTCCCGAATATAAGCCGAGGTACCTAATTTTACCAAAAAAAACTGGGAAAAAGTATTGACCCGAATATAAGCCGAGGGTGGGAAATGAGGCAGCTAATGGTAGATAGATACCAATAAAATTACATTAATATTTATTTAAAAGAAAATAACCTAGCTCTGTAAGTGGAAAAGGGGGTACAGGGCTACATATCATGTACTACGGATCATTTAACCCATTCATATTAGCAGAGGATAATTGTAAATCTATTGTTCAGTGCACTCTATATGTAGTATATAGTACCTGTACATATAGAGTGTCTGCAACAATACATTTACAATGATCCTCTGCTAACATGAATGGGTTAAATGATCCATAGTACAGGGCTACATACAGATCATTTAATACATTCATGTTAGTATAATTGTAAATGTATTGTCTGCACTGTATTAGCAGTATATACTCTATATAGAGTATATACTGCTAATACAGTGCAGACAATACATATATAATTGCTTAATGAATCTCTCTCTACCCCCCCCCCCCGCCCTCACTCACTGTGTCCGTGTGCCGGTGATCGATCATCACATCACGGAGAGAGCAGGGACGAGTCAGCGGCGCGCTGGTCCAGTGGGAGGAGCTCCAGGTGGGGTCCTAATTTAGCTGGCTCAGAGGTGCCTGCCCGCTAAATTACAACCCCACCTGGAGCTCCTCTCGCCTGATCAGCGCGCCGCTGACTCATCCCTGCTCCCCTGCCTGACTGGCCGCTGCGGGGGTTTTTTTTTCTTCTTACTTACCTCGCCGAGCGTCGCGTTACTGCTGCTCCGGTGGGCGGCGCTCCGAGCGGGGTCATCTGGCAGTCTCCGGCCACCTAAATTAGGACCCAAAGACTGCCAGATGACCCCGCTCGGAGCGCCGCACACCGGAGCAGCGGGGTCATCTGGCAGTCTCCGGCCACCTAAATTAGGACCCAAAGACTGCCAGATGACCCCGCTCGGAGCGCCGCACACCGGAGCAGCGGTGACGCGACGCTCGGCGAGGTAAGTAAGAAGACGCGCTGGCGCTGACTCGAGTATAAGCCGAGGGGGGCACTTTTCAGCCAAAAAAATGGGCTGAAAATCTCGGCTTATACTCGAGTATATACAGTAACAATTAGAAAATATTTCAACTTGTGCATTTACATAAATAAAGTGCTCCTGGAAAAAAGAGTTACCATATGAAGTTATAAACACTATTACAAAAATAGCATGTATAGGTTTTTTGAAGCCTTCTAGCTGACTCATTATTTGGTTCATGCTTTGCAGATACAAGACATTGTTGTAGAGACAAAAGGTAGTGAAACTCGCTCTGCTAAAGACGCTTTGCTGCTCTGGTGTCAGATGAAGACTGCTGGGTGTGTATCAGAAAACTGTCTGTGTCTTGTGTCATTAGGCATCATAGGCATCAAGGTGTCTAAAGAAAGAGTTTGGGTTGCCCACAGTAACTACTAAGATTCTCCCCTTTATTAGCCCATACTACACAGGGAGAATTAAAAGAGTAGATAGCCCTTATGGTTGCACAGTAAATGATTGTGTCTTGGGCTCTAACTGCAGAGTGCCTGCCAATGCACATACAGGGGTGTGACTCAACACTTAAAGTACATTTAAAGCCAAAACTTTGTATCTTTGCATAGAGTAGGCAAGGGTTAAAAAACCATGGCAGCTAATTTTTTTGCCATCGCGTTAGGGGTGTCCCTACGTTAATTGCCATCTGATGCGATGCCATTCGGGGAGCTAGGGTGGATGTCAATGAGCTGGGCGGGAAGCCGCACCCACAGAACTCTTAGCAGCCTGGGATTCTGTGGCCACCCTTGATGTGTTTATTGATTTTGCCTTGAAACAGTGCAGACATTTCTTTTCTCAGGGATGACATTTTTTCCAATGGATTTCTGCATCTGTTTTTCCTTCCAACTAATATCCATGTAAATCTGTCCTTCTAGATATCCAAATGTGAATGTCACCAACTTTACGTCTAGCTGGAAAGATGGCTTAGCTTTCAATGCCCTCATTCACAAACACAGGTAAGATACCGCCATGTTCAAAAGGCTCATTTTCAGATGCTAAAACGCACGAAAATGCATGTTAGATATGTTTTTCATCCATATTTCATGCGCTCCCATTAAAAGCTAAAAATGTCACACCAATGCACCATTTTCCAAGCTGCACAAAAATCTGAAACACAGACAGCAATATACATTTTCTTAATAGTTGAGTAGGGGAAGACTAGAACCCCTGACAACATTTTTTTGCTGTCAGTGTCCTTTTTGCAGAAACCCACTGCAGGACAGTAAATTATGGGAAATGTCTCTAACAGAAAACACTAAAACCTGCAGGGATTCAAATACTGCCACATTCTTTTCAAAACTAAAGTAAAAAGTTTTGGCCTGACATACAATCGAAGAAATACATACATTCCAACTCCATGTTTCTTTCTTTAGTTATTTTATTTATAAGAATGGCCTGAAGCTGAGCCCCTATCTTTCCTAGACATATATGAGCACAGTGCCAGGGACCAATAAAGAGAGTTATGCATTATGTAAGTCAAGATATTCTGTGTTATGTCAGTTCCCAAGGTTATCAAATACTACAAATAACCTCTTCGTATACTGTACAAGATACAATGGGCACCAAAAATCTAGCTGCCGTGCATAGTGTGTCGTACACTGACCACCATGGTGTTGTCTTCCTAGGCCCGATCTCATCAACTTTGAAAAGCTGAAGAAATCGAACGCGAAATATAACCTGGAAAATGCATTTACTGTAGCTGACAGACAGCTCGGTATAACTCAGCTGCTTGACCCAGAGGGTAAGTTTCAGGAACTTGTTTTACTTTATTACCTTTGTTTTATGTTACTTTAAAAGCATCAGTCATTGTGTTCCAATAAAATAAGGAAAATATAGGAACAAGTCACTGTATGATTCTGCAGATTGGCCAAATATCCGTAGATATATTCAGATGATTAGAAATGTGTGATTCACTGAAAAATATGTTACCGATTAGTGAATTGGTTTGGGTATTTGTAGTTATTAGACATGTAAGCCGGCAAAAAATTTGGGTCCGTTAGTTTTTACTTTTTCGTTATTTTGGGATTCGAGTCCAAATGTCAATTCGTTTGGTGATTCAGAATCAAATTAATATGAAATTTTCATTAATTTCGGATGCATTAGATAGTGAAAAACGAATTTTAATTGCAGCAAAGTGACATTAGAAAAAACTTTTGGCAGGCCACAGAAACAAACAAAATTAACAAATAAAGCATGGGGTCCCCCCTAAAATCACTTACCAGATCCTTGATCCGAGCAACAGTCTGGCAGGAAAGGGGGGGGGGGGGCAAGCGTGCATTCTCCATGCCCTCCATGCTCCATGCCCTCTACATGGGGAGGGTACTTTGCCAGGGAAGGACCCACTGGAAAAGCACCTTGTTCCCATGGTCGATGAGGACAAGGGTCTCTTCCCCACAACACTGGCCCGGTGGTTGTGGGGGTCTGTGGGCAAGGGGGGCTTATCTGAATCTGGATGATATACACCAACAGAATAACACAAGTCCAGCACACTCTTTCCACTTCTAAAGAATAGACATGTAAGCCGGCAAAAGATTTGTTTTGTTTCGTGATGTTTCGTTATTTAGTTTTTCAGAATTCGGGTCTGAAAGTCAATTCGCTTCGGCATTCAGATGTATCCTAATTTTCGTTAATTTCGAATGAGTTAAATTATTATTATGAACGAAATTTAGTTGCAGGAAAGTGCCATTAAATGTTTACTTTATTTTTAATTTCTGACACTCCACAGGAACAAACAAACAAAAAAAACAGCATGTGGTCCCTCGCCCCCAATTCATACCAGACCCTTTAGGTCAGGTAGGAGTGTTAGAAGGGACCCCTTCCCCGACAATTAATATCAGACCATTTAGGAATTTTAAGGGGGACTCCAACACCAAAAAAAATGAAAAAAAAATTCCTTACCAAACCCTTAATCCGGGCAGCAGCCTGGCAGGGCAGGAAGGGGGTTTTTTTTGGGGGGGGGGGGGGGATGAGCGAGCGCACCCCCCCCCTCCACCATACCAGGCCACATGCCGATGGGGACAGGGGCCTCTTCCCCACAACCCTGGCTTGGTGGTTGTGGGAGTCTGCGGGCAGGCGGCTCATCTGCATCTTGGTACCCCCTTTCATAAAGGGGTCACCCAGATGCTGACCCCCCTTGTGAATGAGTAGGGGTACTTGGACCTCTACTCATTCACTAAAGGGTTAAATAAAATCTAAATAAACACCTTAGAAAAAGATCCTTTAACCTCTTTGCATCGGGGTAGATCAAATAAATCTAAATGTAATTTAAACACTTTTTAAGGCCCCCACGAGCATGCGCGTCACCACGTAAACACGCGTTGGGTGCGCCTACGTACGAAATCAATGAACGCGCTACCCTGGAGTGAGAGCAATAATTCTAGTATTTTTGGGTATCTCTAAATTGATGACCTGTGGGGGCTTTTAAAGCGTCCTCTATGGACTTTTTGGGGTACTGAAGTTTGTCACCATTTCATGGACGCACACAATTTGTAATCTAGGCATGTTGGGTATCGTTTTACTCGGTGTAACCTCATCTTTTATATTGTATTTTCAAAATTGGTATTTTATTGTGTTTTGGGGCACTTTAGTAAATTTTACACTAAATTTTGGGGTTTGATAAGGAGTTGCACTAATATCGTGCAACTGCCAACATTTTATTCTATAGGGTCTTGGCTTTCAGAAAATATATAATGTTTGGGTGTTTTAAGAATTTTCAGGCCTAAAATTTGAAATATAACATAGGTGCAAAAATAAAAAAAAGGCCTCAGTCATGAAGGGGTTAATTGAACAAGAAACACAGCACAAGGTTTTGACAATTCTTTTATTTTAAAAAAGAAAAAAAATGTAATTCCAGCGTCGGTCAAAAAAAACCCATCAAACTATCTAACACATAGTCGCCTCAAAAATATATAAGATAGTAAAACCACAATGATTTGTAAGTGGAATATACATAAATATATATGTTATCCATGGATACCCAGCTGTACATTTCATTTTCAGCCATATCTACAGCGCAATGTGTCAAACAGGAGATGAATGCCACTCATTAGTTAGTTGAAAGTAAAACTAAAATGAACAATATAGCTTATTATTATTATACAGGATTTATATAGCGCACACAGTTAGTGCAGCGCTTTACAATATAAGGAAGACATTACAATCACAATACAATTCAAGACAAGATGGTAAGCAGGGCCCTGCCCGTGAGGGCTTACAATCTAAAAGGGAGGGAGAAGTGATACATGAGGAGGTAGCTGTGTGGGGATGAATTGTTTGAGAATGTGATGGTTCAGTGGTTAGGTTGAGGTGGGATAGGCTTCCCTGAAGAGATGAGTCTTTAGGGAATGCCTAAAGGCAGTCAAGGTGGGCGACAGATGGACAGGTTGGGGTAAAGAGTTCCAGAGGATCGGAGAGACTCTAGATAAGTCCTGGAGGTGAGCATGGGAGGTATTGACAAGGGAGCTGGAAAGCAGGAGCCAAGGGTTAGGGTGATACTTTGAGACCAGGTTTGAGGGGTCCCTAGGTGACATTAGAGGTCTTAGAGACCCCTCATGTCTCCATAAAGAGGACCTGTCACTGTATATTTGATATAACATAGGGGGCTTCTTATCCCCCTATGTGATAAAAATATAGTTACAATACAACTATACAATATTGTTAAGTGTAAAAAATTTTTACAAAAATTGGTCTCAAAAAAATAAAATGTACACACAAAAACCCCCCCACAAAAGTCCCCCACATAGATTCGCAAAAATGCTACGGGTGCGCCTACGTGCAAAAACGACGATTGCGCAAAATTACCCGCACATGTTATCGCGAATTCCAGAGTGTGAACAATCATTTTAGGGCCATCAATCACTGTTAACACTAAATTGATGAGCAGTAAAAGCTGCTCATGGCCAATTTTGGGTGTGGTAGTTTTTTTTCGATTTCCCGGGTGTGCACAATTTTAAGGCTTGATATGTTTGGTGTCTATTTACCTGACGTGACACCATCTTTTATATTTTACCAAAAAATTGGGTAATAATAAATGTTTCCTAACCTAATAAAGGGAAAACAATGTTTTGTTTTTTTAATTTGCAGTACTTTTTTCATTATATAGTGGGGGGAAAAAAACTCCAGTGGTGATTAAATACCACCAAAAGAAAGCTCCATCTGTCCCTAAAAATTATATAAAATCCATTTCAGTACAGCGTTGCATGACTGAATAAATGTCAGTCAAAGTACCTCAGCGCTGAATACTGAAAAATGGCCTGGCCAGGAAGGGGGTGTAAACACCCCGGTCAGCAAGTGGTTAATAAATATGTTTATATAACATATCCCTTATAAAACATACCCATACCTCAATAACATTTAAGAGATGATAAATATTCTACATAAAATATTAAGACATCTCATTATTGAATATATACCAATCATAAGCATAGTCTCCTGGAAATATTATCCATCCATTAAATAACCAATGATTTCTAAAAATCTTCCTTATCATCATAAATATCTTATAATAAATATCATATAATAGATGCCCTAAGAACATCAAATATGATAGCTATTATCTGGAAACTACACTACTAAGGCTAGTTAGGCAAATAGAGGAACCTTAATCTAGTCCTAAATTTTTTTTAAAATTACTATATTACTTAAAGATCCATGTGAAAAAGAGCTTGTATTAAAAGTATCCCAGATAAAGCCCCAAATCTTCTTCTCAATGTTTCAGAGAATGATATGAGCACAGATATATTATCAAGTAATAAGGTGTATCAACTCTTTCTATAATCTGTACCTTCATGCTCATGATATTACTATTATGATGGCGACAAAAATGTTTAGCCACATTGGTTATATATATATATATATATATATAATCGAGTCTGGCAATTACCTAACTGGTTAATTTTAAATGTAGTACCATTAGAATAAGAAGTCACAAAATGATTATCATCCAAAATACTGCAGCTCGAACATCGGGCTGCATTACATAGGTATAGACCTGTTGTTCTTAACCAATTCATGTTGGGTCCTCTCTTACTTCTAAAAAGACTGGTGGAAATCATATTACCTATTGTAGGCGCTTTCCTCGTTACACAACATATGCCTCTATCTCAGGGCTCAAAATTTAAAGTCCTAAGCTACTAGCCAGGCCTTAAAAGTTACTCGCCACCAGTTGCCCCACCTAACCCCTACCCGCCCCGGCCTTAACTCCGCCAGGTCAGCGGTGTGACGCAGAGTACAAAGATCAGTAACAACGCACAGTACAGAAGTCAGTGATGCAATGCAGAATACGGAGGCCAGCTGTGTGACGCACAGTACACCGGCCAGCTGTGTGACGCACAGTACACCGGCCAGCTGTGTGACGCACAGTACACCGGTCAGCAGTGCAGAGGTCAGCAATGTGATGCGCAGTGCAGACGTCAGCAATGTGACGCGCAGTGCAGACGTCAGCAATGTGACGCGCAGTACAGAGGTCAGGGTGTAACGAACAGTACAGAGGTCAGGGTGTGGCGGACAGTACAGAGGTCAGGGTGTGACGCACAGTACAGAGGTCAGTACACAGTACAGAAGGCAGTTTAGAGGTCACAAAGAAAGTACAGGGACTTACAGTTGCTTTGACCTCTTCTTCTCCTGGTGATGGTGGGGGAGCAACCAGGAACCAGGGTTCCTACACGTCCAGCCGGCTTTCTCTCCTGCGCTGCTCTGCTGCTGCAGCGGCCAAGAGGGGAGAGATTAAGTGCATGCGGCGGCGGTGGGGGGCGTTTGCAAAGGAATCAGAGAGGCTCGGAGGGCAATTTCCAGCCTGCCCCAGGCCTAGTCCGTCCCTGGGTCAGACTTATCCAGCACGTTATTAATATGAGTGCCCCACTCAATATGGCCGCAAGTGAGAGGCATACTGAGTGGGGCAACTCAGATTAAAAACGTCCAAAAAATGTGGACTGGGAGTGCGGCCTCTTTAATACTGCTCTGATCACAATGTTGAGCGATTCCCTCTCGGGAGGGCAAGAGGCGGCTCTGATCGCACCTGTCAGCGTTCCCTCTCTCTCCTCCCGACGACGCTTCGTGGAGCTGAAACTGCAGCGGCCAGAAGGAGAGAGCGCGCAGAGAGCTAGTCCCGGCTCTGGATGTGACACTACTGCCGCGGTGATCGTTCGCTTCAGTTCTCTCTTCTCAGCCACTCTGTAGCTGCAGCAGCCGAGAAAGAGACAACAGAAGCGAGCGTTCGCCGCGTCAGTGGCAGTGTCCCACCCCTGGTCCCGCCGGCGGCGCACTCCCTCGCTGTCATTCCACTCGCCCCCCCGCAATTTTCACTCGCCAATTGCGAGGGGGCGAGTGGAAATTGTGAGGCCTGCTCTATCTAGTATATGTCTAAAGTTGGCCATACACCTATAGATTATCTGCAGATGGAAAAAGTGCAACAGATTCCTCCATCTACGCTAAACTGTGTGGATGGAGGAATCTCCCACCTAAAGGGTCTGGTATTGCAGGGAACGGCACGCTGTTTTTTTTTAACATCGGGGCCCCCCCTAACATTCCCACCAGACCTAAAGGGTCTGTTTGCCTGCCGAGTGTCCCACAAGGCACTGCGCCTTGTGAAGACCTGAATGGCTAAAGCCTTGCACATGACCAGAGGCCCGGCGCACGACTTTGCCCAATCAGGGCTCAGTACTCTGTAAGAGCCATGATTGGGCAAAGTCATGATGACTTTGCCCAATCATGGCTCACCAGTCAGATGTCGTACAACTGTAAACAGTTGAGCGGAGCTAGATGTCACCGCTAGCTCTGCCCAATTGTTTATATGTTGCCGGTATCTGTCAAAATGACATTATGGAGTTTGTTGCAAGCGGACGGGACGGTTTTTTAGATTATTTTTATTTATTGTTTATTGTTTTATTTTTTATTTCGTCAAGTCGTCGCCGTCGTGGACAACGCTGGACGTCGTAATTGACTCTGGATTATGTCGTGTAATTAGTTTTTTTCCCAATATAAATCCATATAAATAATTTTTTCAAAGGTCTGGCATCTTTTTTACAATTTGATTTAACCCTTTAGTGAATGGGTAGGCGTACAAGGGCCCTTTACTCATTCACAAGGGGGGGGCCTGCATCTGGGTGCCCCTTTATTAAAGGGGTAAGCTGATGTGAATAAGCCCCCTGCTCGCACCCCCACAACCAATGCCCCAGGGCTTTTGGGGTAGAGGCCCTTGTCCCCATTGGCACGGGGACAAGGTGCTTTTCCAGGGGCGACCCTGGAAAAGCACCCTCCCAGTGCCCAGGGCATGTGGTATCACAGGGAGGGGGGTGCTTGCTCGCCCCCCCCCCCTTTTCTGCCCTGCCAGGCCTGTGCTCGGATCAAGGGTCTGGTATGGAATTTTAGGGGGGACCCCACGTTTCACCCCCCCCCCTTTTTGGGGGTGGGGTTCCTCCTTAAAATTCCTACCAGACCTTAAGGGCCTGGTATGACTTTGAGGGTGAACCCCACACACTTTGTTTTTTGTTTTTTTACATGGGGTCCCTCCTAAAATTCCTACCATACCTTAAGGGTCTGGTATGACTTTTGGGGGGAACCCCAAGCTTTTTTCCTTTTAAATGGGGTCCCTCCTAACATTCCTACCAAACCTAAAGGGTCTGGTATTGTTTGGGAGGGGGAACTGCACGCTTTTTTTTTCTTTTTAAATGTAATTTTTTTCTTTACAAATGTCATTTTTGCTGCAGCATGTTCTATACATCATACAGATGTGCCACTTTACAGGCAGTGTAAGGGGACCCCCAGGCACAATATTTAAACACATTTTTCATTTTTATTGTTTCACTTTAAGTGATGTTAAAATCACTGCTCCTTTAAAAACTGTATTTAAAAAAAAAAAAAAATTATTGATTCATGTCCCCCGGGGCAGTACCCGAATCCGCATACCCCTTTTATGGCCAATAAATTGCATATAAGGCTTCAAAATGGGGTCAATTGATTTTCAGAGTTCTGGCCCCAGACTTGCATTGAGTTCGAGTTCGAATTCAAAATGTTCCCATGTTCTAAAGTTCGATTTCGAACCGAACACGGGGGTGTTCAGCCCATCACTACTGCTGATCAATGAGCACTGGCTGTCCTTTTGGCTGCCTGTTCCCTGTCTGGATGTGGCTGGATGGATGTTCAGCAGTTCATGTGTCCACAGGAAAGGTAAAACACAGCCCGGGGAAACCATACCGAGCTGCAGCTCCCTCACACGTGCAGGAACAGCAGGACGCTATGGTTACCCCTGTCTGCCTGACATCTTGTGTACAGGTTTCAGCTGACCTGAAACCCGGGCACAAGATTCCAAACCCCGACTCTTTGGGTGAATCCCCAACAGGTGGCAACTCTAAGCTGGAGTCTTGCACTAGAAGATGTTTGCTGTTAAGATATAGCCTGTGTTGGGCTATACTGCCTAAAGCCCAACTACAGGCACACCATGTAGTTGGGCTTTGGTGGCTCTTCAGAATGGAGAGCGGGGAGCAGAGCGGCAGGGTTAAAACTAACCCTGCGGCTGTGTGTAAACAGTGAGAGGGAAGAGCAGTCTTCCCCAGCTATCCCATTGGCATTCTCCATGGGAGGGGGGAGGGGTTGGCGGGGAGGGGGGCACATTGAGGAACCTGGCCTTTGGCCTGGGGCAGTAGTGAGAGTAAATCCGGTCCTGGGTAGAGTGCTGAATGGTTTAATTATAAGGTATAGGGGACTGCACATAATATTTAGTATATGTAACGCAAAAGAAGACTGTCAGAAACTGCAGACATACTAGAAAAGAAAGTCAGAGACTGCAGCCATGCAACAGTGGTTGTTGAAGACTGAATCCCTGCTGCAGAAGACAAAGGACTGGGGGGGTGTTAAATAGGACCTTCATTCTCACCTAGGGGGGTAAAGTAGGCAGGTTGGACTTAAGAAAATAAATAAACACCAAACAAAGGGTCATCGTTTTATCATTGTGGTGGGGTAAGGAATCCAACTAGGCAAAGTGTATACTGTGAGTGAAGTTCTGCTTTAAGTGAGACTGCAGAGATGTTTGGCATTACAGCCCCATTGCAAATCAGTCTCACAGTGTTACTACTGGGGTCTGCAAAGGGCCGAATAGCAAGTACTGCTTGCAGCCCTCTGGGCCGCAGGTTGGGCACTGGGAGGTTAGAACCTCCTTACTTCTTGTGTCCATTCAGACCTCTGAAGAGTTTGCACTAGGTACTCTCTCCATATGCTTAACATTCCTCAGATCAATCTCATTATTGCGGGCACAGACAGCAATGAAAAAAACTGGCAGAATTTCTAAACCCTTTCTCACTTTATAAGAAAAAAAAAGGTTTTACATGGAAATAGGCTTTACATTACTGCACAGGGGTCTCAAAGAAAAACCTAGGTTATAAATGAGTATGGTGACAGCACTACTGAGAGTCATGCTATTAAATCTGAAGGGGGACCATATGTCAAGTGCCACTGTATGACTAGATGTTAATAAGAATAAGAATACCACCGGCTTCTGTCATAGCAGCAAACACCATGACCGGCTTCTGTCATAGCAGCAAACACCATGACACAATGGAGCATAAGGCTGTCAAACATGGGGCACTCAGCAGAGGAATGTGGAATGGAGCAGTGGCAAGGGTGCCAACTATACCCAGAGAAAATCCCTTCCATGAGTACTTCCATTGTTACTTACCCTGGCATGGAAATTGTAACTTACCCTGGCATGAGGGTGCCTACTGTTGTGAGAGAAACTATGGCGAGTGTTGATTTTTTTACAAGCTACTGTACAATCTGTGCTCTGTCTAGCAATGGTAGTAAACCAGTGCTTTTATGCTTTTTTTTTTTTTTTTAACAGATGTGTTCACTGAAAACCCGGATGAGAAATCCATTATCACATATGTAGTAGCATTTTATCACTATTTTTCCAAGATGAAGGTTTTGGCTGTGGAAGGAAAAAGAGTTGGCAAGGTAATGAGAAACGTATCCTAATGCCATCCCATGTACCAGCAAATTAAAGGTTCAGTCAGCCCATTAATTGGGCACAGCCACTGTGTTGATCAGATAGATACCCTTGATACCACCACCTTTGTTACTAGCAAAAGACTGGCTATATCTTAATAAAATGATGTATTTGTCCATTAGACCTCGGAAGGCCTATACTGTAATTCAATATGATTGTGTGACACTGTATATGTTTCTCTTCAAGGTTCTGGATAATGCTATTGACACAGAAAAGACGACATATGATTTTGAAAGACTAACCTCAAATCTGCTGACATGGATTGAGCAAACAATCATTGCCCTCACCAACTGGAAGTTTGCTAATTCTTTGCTGGGAGTCCAACAACAGCTACAGTCATTCAGTACATACAGAACTACAGAGAAGCCTATAAAGTAAGCAAAACAGAGTAGCTCATAGACAGAACCTAGTGGGCAGCACAAAGCAATCCTTAAAGTGACATTAAACCCTCAGATTTTTTAACATAAAACAATAATGTGTGCCTTGCTGTAATCCAGTGTGGTTTCCCTTCTCTTTGCTGCTCTTCCTTTTAAATCTGTATCTGTTCTCATGCTGGGCAGAACTTCTGTTTTGCAGCAGACTGCCTTGTCTCTGAAATGGATACATGGTGTCTGTGTGTAGGTTTGCAACCTGAGCCAGCACTACAGGAAGAGGCACTCAGCTGCAAAGGGAAGTTCTCTCCCAGCATGAGAAGACATGAGGATTTAAAAGGAAGAGCAGCAAAGAGAAGGGAAACTACCATGGATTACAGTAAGGCACACATTACAGTATTGGTTTATGTTAAAAAATCTGAGGGTTTAATGTCACTTTAACTCTGCCCTATCTATGAGCTCAGTGATTTGCTGACAGCAGGCAGTTATCGGAAAATTAACTGACACTTGCCACTAATTTTCTCTTACAATGTGTTGTCAATAATATTCTAAATCACATAACATTATGTTAGAAATAGTTTGTAATGAACATTCAGTTTTCTTAGATTTTAGTTGGATGGATGTGAGCAACAGCTGTTACTTATATGCAACAAAAGTAATTAATTATCCTTGGTGTTAAAATATAGTTTAATTTGCAGATTTAAAGAAAAAGGTGACCTGGAAGTGCAGCTGTTTACTATACAGTCCAGAATGAGAGAGAATAAACAAAGGTTATATGTTCCGCGAGACGGTCAGCTGGTGTCCGACATCAACAGGGTAAGTAACCATTATAATTAGAGGTGCACCAAAATGGAAATTTTAAAACCGAAACGAAACCGAATTTTTAAAAAATGTCAGGCGTCAGGAATCCTCTATGAGTGTTCCTGTTCATTCATAACATGAGAACATTGTTTGTTTACTATAACTACAATTATGAATGAATGGGGGTGATGTAGATCACTCCCATTCATTCATAATTGAGGATATAGTTAAAATACCATGTCCTAAATTATGTACAAACACTCAGCGATCGCTGAGTGTGTGTACCTTGCTCTCCTCTCTGACACACACTGTCACAGGAAGCTGATCAAGAGTGGTATAGGGAGCCCAGCCTCCTGTGACAGCGCTGTCTCCTCCCCCACACCGCTCTGCCGGACTGTGATAGGCGGCAGAGCGTCGTGGGAGGAGACGCCGGCCGCTCACAGCGCTCTCCACCGCAGCGCTCGACCGCTGGGACATAGAACAGCGCCCAGCGGGGAGGAAAGAAATGACGTATGCGCCAATGTATCGGCAGGAAAATGGCACTTTCCGCATTATGCCAAAAGTGCCATTTTCGGCCGATATATTTCGGCGGCCGATATATCGGTGCATCCCTAATTATAATTATTATAAAAAAACAAATTTAGCTAAGCAACGAGACAAAATAGATAGTTATTGTTATCTACCTGCCAATGTTGGCCAAGCATTTTTGAGAGACACGCCTCCACTATTTAGTAAGATATGCTGCTTTTTTCTGCTTTACAGCTACTGCTTCCCATCTCTAGGAAAAAACATTTTCTATGTTTTTATCAACAGAGTAGGGAATGCTTAGACAATTTTTGGTTACAGAGATTTAAATCTTCTCTCTATCCTTGTGGAGATTCCTTTTTACTTCCTGTTCCAAGACCTAACACCTGTTCCTTCTGACTCCCTTACAAAGACAGTAATAAAGACTCTATAAAGAGTATAGCCGTTTCCTACTCAGCTCATGCACTGGACTTTAATGATATATAATACGAATAATTGCTTGCCCTGGTTTGCTTTTTTATTGAATGAACGTTATGAAACAGAAGGTAGTGGCTTACAGTGTTTTGGTCATCAGCAGTAAATGAAGCCCATGTACCTTTGTTTAAAATTGAAATTGGTGTAATGTAAGTAATAATGTATCCATTATTGGAAAACAAAAAAATATCACACATCTTAGTCCATGATGTCCACAGTAAACATGCCATCTCATTAGAACTAGTAATTCATTTCCTTTTTGTATTCAGGCATGGGGCCGTCTTGAAAAGGCTGAACATGACCGAGAGACAGCACTGAGGAATGAGCTGATTCGACAGGAGAAGCTTGAACAGTGGGCAAAACGCTTTGATCGCAAGGCTGCAATGAGAGATGCATGGATAGCTGAAAATCAACATCTCATTTCACAGGTAACCACAGTAGGAATATATTTGTTAAAATTTGTAGTAGATAACAGTTTTGGACAAAGATGATTTATATAGAATTGGAACAGCCACACAATTTGATTACTGACACAACAAAGTAATTTTAAGAATGGGAACATATGATAAATAGGGAAGATAAATTACCAATACCATAATCAGGAAACTAATTTGGTATTTTTGGTGGAGCTTAATAAACTGTCATACAATGTAGAGATCACCTGGCCAATGTAACATGTAACATGTATAGTGATATACTGTCTTTCTACAAAGCAATTCACTCTATCTTTGGAGATTGTGAATGGACGTTGCTGAAAGTGCCTGTGAGTACGGTGGCCTTACCAATATGTGCAGCTTTCAAGTACACTGCAACATCAATAAATAAAGAATTTATGCCACACACAAGAAAATTGTTGCCCATGAATGATTAACACAACAGGAGGTCTAGCCTCAAACTGGCTCCTTCCACTGATGCTTTTCACATGAGAAAGCCATCAGAGTGAAGATGCAGTCTGGGGCTATATTAGTATTAGTTTGCATTCCTATACAGAATGGTAGAATGGTAGACTTGAGCAGTCATGTGGTAGGCACTGAAGGTGTATGCTTGCTGGAAGTGGTGAATCCTGTGGAAAGTATACACTGCAATACAATTACATGTCAGTGGTCACCTTCCAATGAAAGGGTCATTCTGAAATATACAGTGTATTATTTTTATTATTATACAGGATTTATATAGCGCCAACAGTTTGCACAGCGCTTTACAATATAAGGAAGACATTACAATCACAATACAAATTAAGACAAGATGGTAAGGAGGGGCCTAGTATGTTACCATCAGAGTGAGTAGGAGTGTCTGACCATTGTGTTAGATCCAAAGAAGAGGTTAGGTTAAGAAATTGAGTGGAGGCCGGGGTGTTAATGTTAGTAGCAATGTTAAAGTCACCAAGAATGATAGTGGGTATTTCTGAGGAGAGAAAGTAGGGTAGCCAGGCAGAGAAGTCATCCAGAAAGCGAGATACCGGTCCAGGGGGCCGGTATATAACAGCAATCCTCTGCGAAATTGGAGAGAATAGATGAATACAGTGGGTTTCAAAGCAGGAGAGGGATAGAGTGTAGGCACGGTTGCACTACTATTAGATTCTTCAAGTATTTTCAACTCTTGAAAACATTCTGGAAATGTTTAAGCTTTGTAACTAAACACAGTTTTTGAGAAATATAGTTGATAAAAAGCTGGACAGACTTCACTCTTCTCATTTTAAAATGCCAACAATGTCACAGTTACACTCATACAGTTATGATTTCAGCTGAATTCCTGGAGAAAGTGCAGGATTCTAAGCTATAATGGATTTTGTATATTGTGGGGATGTTGTTTTACATAGACGTTGGTCTTGACAGGATAATTTTGGCTGTGATTTGCCATCAGTGGAGGCGGCCAAAAAGAAACATGAAGCCATTGAAACGGATATCCTTGCCTATGAAGGCTGCATTCAGTCATTAGTCAATCTAGCTAGAGAACTGGAAAATGAGAATTATCATGACATCAAGAGAATCAATGCTAGAAAAGACAACATTGTACGGATGTGGCAATTTCTTCTGGAAAATTTACACAATCGACGCCAGCGGTTGAACATGAACCTTGAGCTTCAAATCATGTTCCAGGACATGCTGCACACTGTCACTTGGATGGATGAAATGAAGGTAAAACATAGTGTCCTTTGTGTTGTAGACCACTGATTCCCCCCAGTAGTGGCCAAGTTCTTGGTTTTGTTGTTGTCACATTCACTTTATTTAATCTATATAGTTATAATAGACTGTTAAAGTGGAACTACACTGTGGAAACCATGATCAATACAAGTCAGGTTGGAGGGCAAAAGACTAGTTAGCAGTATTGCTCGTTGGCTCCCTAGTAGTTGTTCTTTGCCCAGGACTTACTATGCCTACTTCCAGACTGTTAGAGAAACAAGGTGGTGGGGCACTGGAATACCGTGCTTTATTCCACACTGCATCTTGGTGTGGCAGCAGCCATCTTGGTGGAGGATTAGGGCTTTGCTTCATACCAAGCCAGCCCTGGTCAGTTGAAGGGGGCACATATCCACTGACACAGGCAGCAGTGGTGGAGGTAAGGAAGAAGAGGCAGCACGAGAACTAAAGAGGCCACAAATCCACAAACAGTGGCAGTGCAGGGGCAGAAAAGGATCAATAGATGCAAAGTATTGCAGGAACATTGTTGTCGCTGTGAGTAAAATAAACTGGATATTATCATACTTTAAAACGATAAAAATTAATTTATTGTCTATACATGGTTAAATTAATCAAAAACAAATGTTGAGGATCCCCACCCTGCTGTCATAGCAGGTTTAATGAGTGATTACCTGATTATCAGGTATGATTTCTTACTCCTCATCCTGACAAAGGCTAAGAAAGTATAGCTATAATGGATTGTTAATGATTAACTCAGCTTTCACCCAGGATTCACACATTTTTCTAACTAAAATGAAATAGATTATTGTATGAAAGCTGTATGAGTTTTGTGTAAAAATATGGATACATAGACCACTTAGTTTATCGAACCACTACACCTAAACAACGTTGTTGACTTATATCCCAAATGCGGCAAAATCCAGTTCTCCTTGTTTCGCTTGTTGGTAAAAATTAGACCCTGACTTCATCCTATTGTCTCTCCCAGAATGGTCTTTTATCATCAGACTTTGGAAAACACCTCAATGAAGTGGAATATTTGCTCCAAAAACACGCCTTAATTGAAGCTGACATTGCCACACAAAATGACAAAGTGAATTCTTATCATACAACTATGCAGAAGTTTATTACTGGGGAAGGTAAGTGAATAATACACATCTTTTAATTTTATTTGATGAGACACTTCACTGAACCATTATTTGGGCCGTTACATCAAAGTAAAGAAGTAGATCTGCCTGCCTCCCAAAAAAAGAAAAGAAACATTGAAAAGTAATGTCGGGAATAGAAACCTGTGCCTTATTTATTAAAAAGCTAAAAGAAGAACTGATTCATATATACTAATCAGATTTCCCTTTTCCTTTTTTGATTGGCTATGAAAGAGTATATGATTAGTCGAGCAATACCAATGGTTCTCTGGTGGTCTAAGTTTATTTTAAAAACAGGCAGGTTGGTTGCTTCTAATGGAGAGACCCACACACATGTGAAAGTTGAATAAATAAAAGTTGGGTAACGTACAATGTATATAATACAAACATACAGCACACAGACTTTTATTGCAGGTTTTATGTTTAATCTTTATATTTTTCTTAAACTCCTATATGTGTCCTACTGTTTTCTTCCTCTGGGGGAGATGCCACATTGCTGGAGATACTGTTAATGCAAATATGTTAGTGCTGCGATTGAAAACCATGTGGGTGTAATGTATCATAGTAAAATGTTTACATATTATATTTGTAAATTATATAAAGTATTTAAAAAAGTTTACATATGTATTTTAAGTTGTGTAACTTTAAAGTGTAATTGCACCAACTGTGCAGACTCCATGTCCCTAGTTCCCCTCCCAGCCATATGCTGTACTCCTCTGTCGCCCCAATCCAATGAGAGATTGCTGTCTAGATAACATAGCTGCTTGTCAAAAATCTTCTCAGCTGGGCCCTTGCAAGTGTTCTGCAATCCCATTTATTGCTATGGACTTCTTAAAGTATGTGCATGAGCCCAGTGGGAAGATTTTTCATGGATTCCTGTAGTGAGGTGGAGTTGCTAGAAAGAAGAACCACTGAACACTGTGGAGAACCAGGAGATTGGTACTCTTAGATGTGTTGGTTTTTGCAGAAAACCATGTATCGGCAATGGTAATTTCACAACAGTGTGGCTTTAGTTTCTGTTAAAATACATATGCAACAATGTTTTTATGGAGTTACATCAATATGTTAAAACAATTTGACATTTTATTTTATTTTTGCATCTTTGTTCTTGTAGGGTACAAGCCTTGTGATCCACAGTTGATTAAAGATCGAGTTCAACACCTGGAACTTTGTTATCAAGACCTTGTTGCATTGGCAGCCCAACAGAAGGCTCACCTACTACAATGTAGATGTATGTGGAAGTTCTTTGGGGACATGGATGAGATTGAAAGGTGGATCAAGGAGAAAGAACAAATTTATACTACTATGGACTTTGGGAAAGATCTTACCACCATTTACATCCTTCAAAGAAAACATAAGGCTTTTGAAGATGAACTTAAAGGTCAGGAGTCTAACTTACAGGAAGCCATCAATGATGGTGAAACCTTGGTTGCCAGCAAACATTATGGTGCACCTAAGATCAAAGAACGAATTGAGAATGTCAAAGATGAATGGGCTCAGCTGAAAGAGTTGGCTGCATTCCGCTTAAAAGTCTTACGTGATACGGAAAACTTTTTCCAGTTTCAAGTTGATGCTGATGATTTAGTTGCCAGGTTGCAGGACACATACCGCATCATGCAAACAGAAGACATCGGTCATGATGAATATTCCACCAATGTACTGGTGAAGAAGCACAAAGACTTACTAGATGACATCATGTTGAACAGAAAAGTCTTAGAAAGCCTTAGTCAGCTTGCTCAAAGCTTTCCAGAAGAATACCAATCATCACCTGAGATAGACAGCCGACTTCAAAAATTGAAAGCACTGTACTCTGATCTGGCATCTCTAGCAGACTTGCGATCCCAAAAACTTCAAGATACTCTGGCATATTACACAATTCTTGGGGAAATAGATGCCTGTGAAATGTGGATGAATGAGAAAGAAAAGTGGCTTCAAAATATGAAGATTCCAAAATCCCTTGAAGACATGGGTGTAGTTCAGCACAGGTAACCTCTAACAAAATTAAAAACTCTAAAATTATGAATCCATAGGCAACTTTTTGGCTGCACATATACAAACACCTTTATTAATAATAAGTATATTTTATATTAAATTAGATGTTAAAGGACCAGTCCACCTAAATCAATAGTTTGGTTAGAAATAAAGTTTGGTGGCCATGTCATCTTGAGGCTTATTAGATATTTTGGACACCTCAACAACTCCCAGGCTATGTATCCATCTCCTTTTTAGTTTTAGGCATACCCACGCTCTCTCTTACATATCCCATAGTCTAAAACAAATTAAAAATCAAGCAGAGCGGAACCCCTTCTAAAAAAAAGATCATGTAGTTGGGCAGGTCTGGGAATCTGACAGGTTCTCATAACCAAAGCCCCTACATCTGTGGTTTTGGATGTTACTACTCATCCTGTATTTTCCATAATATAAAGTCAGTTAAAAATTCAGAGAGATTGGATCTTTTAAAGTCTGCAACAGTTATTCAACCTGGAACCTTATGTGCAGTATGATATAAAAACACTGGTAAGTTTTTTAACTCTCCAACATCTATTAAAAAAATTGTTTTTGGTGGAATGACACCAGTACATTGTTCTGAGTGTCATCTTCTGTTCCTACAAGTTTGGTAACTTTTCAAAAAATGTTTTTGAGTTCTATATGCACATCTCCTACCCCCTCCCATAGGTTGCTACCTTTGTGCATCACTGGCCTTCTTGTACCTCTAATATACTTAGGTTAGGGATTAAAGACCCTGATATTGCTAGGGCATTGGTCCCCACTCTACCACCTTTATGAATTATGTATGTAAATGTAGATTCATGTTTATCATTCCTCTTGGTCATGAAGCTGTGAGTATTTTAATTTTGCTATTTTGTTTCCTTACTTTTATGATTTAACACAGTACGCCACACAGTAAAGAGATGCATATGCCCCCCAGTCCAAATGTTGGGCACTAGGGATCTTACATATTGTTAAATGTTTGTGACATCTAATCTACTTTTTCTAGGTTCAATACTCTGGGTCAAGAAATTAATGTTCTGGGATCCCAAATAGAGAATGTCAACAGTGCTTCTGATTCTCTCTTTGAAAGTGGACATTCCAATAGAATGCAAGTGAAGCAAGCACAAGATCACATGAATGCCAGGTAATAAGGAAACTATTTTTTGTCCCTTGTGCAACATTACTGGAACATCATCATGAAACCAATTGACTGTGTTGACGAGCTGTTGTTAGTGTAAGATATTGCTTCTGTTCACATAGAAGTCAAAAGCAACTTTAAGCAGTTTAATGCATCTTAGAAAGAGCAAGTCAGATGGAATTCAACAGCAGGGGTCAAATTCACCTGTCAGTGGTCTTTGAAGTGCCTCACCTGTCAGCTGAATGCAACTTAAATCAAGCTGCATTTGCCCGTTGACACATGCCCAAAGCCGGTAGACACATTTCCATTATAATATGTTAGCAATTGAAGCATTCTTTGTTTTTTGTTCATACAGGTGGGCTGATTTCAAGGAAATGGTTGCTAATAAAAGGAAAGCAATTGATTCCGCCCTTGGTCTTCACAATTATTTTGTGGAGTGTGAAGAGACCAAGAACTGGATACTGGATAAGATCAGAGTGGTGGATTCCATACAGAACCTTGGAGATAACCTAGCCTCAGTGATGTCAATTCAGAGAAAGCTCTATGGTATTGAGAGAGACCTCGGTGCTATTGAGACAAAACTTGTAAGTCTACAAGAAGAGGCAAAAAAGTTGGCAGATGAGAATCCAGATCAAGCTCAGGACGTTTTTGATGGGTTAATTGAGATCAACAATGTCTGGCAAGAGCTGCACAAGGCACTGCAAAATCAAGAGGACTCCCTGGGCGAGAGCAGTAAGCTGCAAAAGTTTTTGGTTGATTTGTTTGACTTTGAGACATGGCTTTACAGAGCTCAGCAGGCCACAGCTTCAGAAGACACACCAAGCTCCTTAACAGAAGCAGAAGAACTGTACAACAATCACCTTGCTCTTAAAGACGACATAGAACACCATGAGTCTGATTTCCGCAATGTTGTTGACACAGGAAACAAAGTAACCAGTGGACAATCTGACCCTCAATATCAGCAACTTGCAGAGAGAGTTAAAGATATAGAAGTGGGGTGGGATGCCCTCCTTAAGATGTGGAGCAACAGAGAAGATTTTCTTTCACAATGTCTTGCATTTCAGTGGTTCTTGAAAGATGCCAAGGAGTCTGAAGCCATTTTGAGTAATCAGGTACATTCTGAAAATGTTCTTAAATCATTTTGTGTAAGAAAGATGTAAGGGTTAAAGTGGAACTCCAGACAAAAGTGTTTTGTTTTAGATAGGGAAGGCAAGGGCAGGGGTATAACTTTAGATCACTGGACCCCATAGCAAATTTGTGTTGTGGGCCCCTGGTAAACTAGTAGTGTCAACTGTGACAATTATGTCATTGATTTTAAAGTCCCCTTGGTGTGATACATTACAAGATTTTAAACACACTTTGTTGCACACTCCTATCTTTTTCTGTACTGAAGAAATAGATGTTTGTTTCACCATAACCGTCCCCGGCTGATTCCTATATGGGAAGGTTTGGTTGAACATAACCACCTGATAAAATCTCAGTGTTCTAACAAGGAATGTTGCAATGTCTGCATCCCTTTAGAAATAGATAGAAGTTGTTAACCCATAGGGAGCATCTCCCCAAAATGGAAACTCCTATTGCAGGGGATGCCTAAAATTTGACTTGTATCTTAGTGCAGACTTCTGGGAAAATCAGTGAGTCAATCACATAAGCAGGAAATGACATTTCTGGGGGCATTCCATGCACCAAGATTGTACAGAATGCCTCCAGATTGTCATATTGCATTTAATTTTTTGAGTTTTACAAATTTACAGCAGCTGCAGATTGAAATAGAAAAGTATTATTAATACAATTTAAATTACAAAATGGCTTGTGTAGACATTGTATATACTATATTTTATTTTTATATGCTCCGGCCTTACTCTGTGTTAAAACTGCAGGAGAGGAACTTGATTGGTGGTTTTTAAATAGCATACAAGCCCAAATTAAGTTTATTTTGAAACATATAAAGAAATTCAAGGTGCAGCAAAATAGTAAGTGTTCAAAGTTTTACTCTTTGTATAGTTTCTAAAGCACCCCTGAGTCAGGGTTCCAGTGCTCCAATCAGTAATGCTGCTGATGGAAAAGCTGCAGTTGTGATTAGACAGGATGTGTGTTCAGCACTAAAGATAGACCTCTGCTCATACACAGAACATAGCTGTCTTTTTTTAGCAGCCTTGTGCTGGCCACAAACTTTTCTGCTGGGCTGGGAGTGCTTTAAAAAAATTAAAACAGCAAAACCATGAACACTTAGGGGTCTGTGTGTAAAAAAATTTGCATAGCTTTTTGTCCAGTGAAACTACAGGCGCATTCGTTCTAAATGCTAACCAGCATTTGGTCATTCATTTTAGGGATTTTTTTTGTACAATGTATGAAGCTGTGGCTGTTGTATGAATGGGGCAAAATCAAAATGTATTTTCTCTTATGGTTGAATTTTCTTGTTAGGCTATTTTCTCTTCTGGTCGAATGTTCTTTTTAGGCTATTTTCTCTTCTGTTTGAATGATCTTAGGCTATTGCTTTTAGGCTATTTTTTTTTTTTTTTTTATTCTTTATTTTAAAGTTTTCATAACACGAATGATCACAAGAAAAACATAAATAGAGGACATACACATATCATCACTTAAGCATGTTTACTTAATAGCAGACCGAAATAGAGCTTTTCAGCCCAAGAGCAAGGCAAACCCTAAGTGTTGTAGGGGTACAAAAGGTCTGAAAGCAATATAAAAACAGAAAAATGCATCTCAGACAGAGCATGAAATGCGATGATCACATGAACTTAAATACAGTCAGTGTAAGAGCTTGGGTTCGCAGTCTAATATCACTTGCATGCACCATTCAATTATGGGGGGGGAGGGGTACAGGGATAAGGAGGAAAGAGGTGGGAGTGAAAAGCACACTTAATTATGAAATTTTAATAAATTCTAGACTGCGGACATACAGATATGACAACAAAGCCGCAGACACATGGACAGATATCTGAATGCAAACCACAAACAAGTAGGGGCAAGGAAGGACAGAAGCAGAAACATATGGAAAAGCAATGAGCGGGGTATGACCCACCGAGGGGAGTTCCCCCTAGTGGTAGGAGGTGAGTCATGTAACCATTAACGTACCATATTGTGGGAATAGAGAAATTCCAGCCAGTAGAACCAAGTTTTCCTGAATTTGGTATCGGCATGGGGAAGAGTACCGGTCAACTCCTCCCACTCCTCCCATCACACGGATCTCACCTACCTTTTTGAGCCACATTTTCGCAGAAGGTGGCTCTTGACTTTTCCGGCACAGCGAGATGTAAGCCCTAGCCGCATTAATTAGATGGATTAGAAGGGAAGTGCGGTACCCAGACTTGGAGAACGGGGTCAGATGAATCAGGACTGTCGCTGGGTCATCAATTAGGGAAATCCCTGTGAGTTGGTTGATTACACGGAGGACAGTATCCCAAAACTCTCAGAGGCATGTGCAGGACCAAAAGATGTGCAGAATAGAGCCAACCTCTTGCCCACATCTCCAGCAAGTCGGTGAAGATTGAAGGTACATCTTGTGGAGCGTGGCTGGCACAAAGTACCATCTGGTAAATATTTTATAAACCGATTCCTGAATGGACCTGGCCAAAGAGGCTTTATGTGCGGAGCGCAGTATGGTTTCTTTTTGTTCCAGGATAAAGGTAAGTCACAGATCTCTCTCCCATTAGCCACAAAGACAGGCTCAGGCGTGGTCGGGGAGTGAACTAACAGCGTATGTGCCTTGGATAGCCCATGCTCAACATACTCCCCCCTCAAACAAATCTCCTCAAAAGGAGTTAAGTCCGAGTGCGGAGAAGAAGAGCACAGGCAACTGGAAAGAAAATGGCACAGTTGTAGAGCCTGCCATCTCAGTAGGGGAGGTGTTACCCTGGTAGCCATCGATTGTAGGCACAGATAGTCTTGTGCAGGCCAGAAGTGGGTGACACGGAACTGGTTGGACGTCACGAAACGTGTAAAAGACTTATCTTCTAAACCAGGTACAAAGACAGGGTCTCCGATCACTGGGGGCATCAGCGACGGGGGACGTACCAGTCGAAAGAAGACTGGATGTTGCCCTGATGACTTTAATTGTGCTACCTGTAAGCAGATGATGGAGAGTTTCCTTATAAAGGGGCATAGCCGTCCAAAGCAGACCTGCCAGGGGCCAAGAAGAGGCAGCCTGTTCCAAGTGTAGACATTGTTTATCGGAAGAAACGTTGCACCACTCGAAGGCCAGTGCCATATGTATCGCCAAATGATAGCGAAGGGGATCAGGGAATCCAATCCCCCCCTGGGATTTGGGCAGCGCTAGGATGGTTTTGTTCAGTCTGTGTGCGCCATTCACCCACAGAAAGGATGTAAATTCCCTACGTAACAATTTCAAGAAGGACGCCAGAATTCCAACAGGTAGGGTCTGCAATAGGTATAATAGCCTCGGAAGGATATTCATCTTGAGTACACTGTTCCTCTTAAACCAAGACAATGTGCGCCCTCACCATTTGGTAAGGTCACGTCGGACAGTAGATAGGAAGGGCAGAAAATTGGATTCAGAGACTCTGTCTATAGATGATGGGAGTTTCATCCCTAGGTAAGTAATATGGTCAGACGCCCAACGAAAAGGGAAGGCCGATAAAGAGACTGTGAGGTTGAGAGCTTCGGATTTCTGTAGGTTAATTTTGAGATTTGAGAGCTCACCATGGGCTGCTAATTCCCGCATTAAATTCGGGATAGAGACAGTGGGTTTGGTGAGTATGAACAGAAGTCGTCCATGTAACCCACGATTTGTGAGACTTGGGGCCCCGCAAGAGGCCAGATATATCTGAATCAGCCCTGACTCTACAAAGTAATGGTTCCAGCGTCAGGGTAAAGAGCAAGGGGGACAGTGCACAGCCTTGTCTGGTACCATTAGATAGTGAGAAATATTTAGAATATGTCCCATTAACTCTCACCCTAGACAACATAGATTATCTCCCAGGCCTATCTCCATGAGCGTCGACCGAAGGAACGACCAGCCCACTCGGTCAAATGCTTTTTCCATGCCTGTGGACAACAAGATGGTAGGAATGCGTCTCACCGATGCAAGGTATATAGCATTGAGCACTCTGACTGTGTTATCTCTTGCTTCTCTCCGCGGTACAAATCCCACCTGGTCTTTATGTATGATCTTGCAAATAACCGTCAGAAGATGGTTCGCTATAACCTTTGAAAACAGTTTTAAGTCAACGTTCAGCAGAGATATCGGGCGAAAGCTAGAGCAGAGTATGGGGTCCTTCCCTTCCTTCGGAATGACCATGATGGAGCCAAGAAGGGTTGGCTAGAGAGCAGGGAATTGAACGCCCTGAGGAATGGAGATCCCAATTGATCTCTGAAGGTCCCTGAAATAGCGGAGGGAAAAACGTCAGGGCCTGCAGCCTTATGGGGTTTCATTTGTTTTAACACCGCCATCCATTTCTCTGAGGAAATAGGAGAGTCCAAGGCAGCTGCCTCTCCGGAGGATAACTGGGGAAGACCCGCCTGAGCAAGATACGCTTGGATCTTGTCCAGTTTCTGTGTCGCAATCTCCGGGGACTGTGAGCTCTCAAGATTATACAGTTCCTGAAAAAATTCTCGGAAACGGTCAGCAATGGCCGCTGAATTGGATATCAGACCGCCATCACACGCCACTATATGAGGAACAAACGACTGAACCCTGGTATCTCTAAGAGCCAAGGCCAGGGACCTATTAGGCTTATTGCCGTATTCATAATAAGATCATCTAACTTTCAACTGTCTCACCTTGAGTTTGCGCAAGAGCAGATCATTCAAGCGCTGACGTAGCATCCACAGCTCCGCCTCCATTGTCACAGGCATGGTTTTCTTGTGCTGCATTTCCAGATGGCCTATCTGACTAAGTTAAGGAGAAATGACTGTCAGTCATTTTGGTGTCACCCCCTCTAAATAGTTGGTCACTCGGTCATGGACCGGGAGCCCAGCAGTGTCAGGAGAGAGGAGGAGACCCAGTGACATACCTAATCCCACCAGGTGAACGTCCCCTCCTTTCTCTCCCGGCGACCATCACTAAGATGGCCTCCGGCAGGCGTCACTTAGATGACCGTGCATGCGCAAAGATGTCACGGCGGGGTGTCATTCGGTCTCTCGCTCCAGGTGACACCCGGCCTCGGGACGCCCATGATGGAGGTCACTATGTTTAACCAGAAAGTAGTTTATTCTCAAATAAATTTGGTGTGCAGCAGAGTAGAACGAGTAGTCTCGGTCTCTGGCATGCATGAGGCGCCAGACATCTATCAAATGTTCAGCGTCCAGAATTTGCCGGTGTCGCGGTATAAAGGCATATGAAAGCTGGCACGTACCTTTAGATACATCCAGCCGAGGGTTAAGGGCAATGTTGAAGTCTCCGCCCACTACAACAGCCCCCTCCACAAATTCGGCCAAGGCCAGGAAGCACTCCTCAAGAAAGGGTATTTGTTCAGAACTGGGGGCATACACATTGACCAATGTTACCAGGGAACCAAAGAAACGACCCTTCACAAACAGGTATCTACCATTGCCATCCTCCAAAGTGGGGAGATGCTGCCACCACGTATTTCTTGCTACTAATATACTGATCCCCTGGGACTTAGCGTCAGGAGATGAGACATGATATACAAAGGGGAAGTGTGCGTTGGAGAGTCTCGGCATACAGTCAGATCGGAAATGTGTTTTCTGCAGGAATGCCGCCTGCGCTCTGTCTCCAAAAGTCCCCAAGTACCCGCGGCTACTTCTCTGGGATGTTCAAGCCTTTTATGTTCCAGGAGAGGAATAGCGTAGTCATGGCTCCGTTGACGTTTCCCCTCCAATGGACCATGTCCAGAGGAGACAGTCAGAAAGGGGGCAGTAACAGCCAAGAGAGGAGACCAAGGACCGGGCCAGTGGAGGTACAGTAAAAGAGAGTAGGCACACACACACACAGAGGAAAAGGGATGACAAGACAAATATAAAGGTGACAAAGGCAACAGGAAGTTCTACAACTAAAACTAAACGGCCCTCAATGCTTGCCGCGAAGAGGGAACCTAAGTTGGGGAATAAGAAGCAAGGAAGCCCCATGAGATGCTCCCTGAAGGGGAGGGCTAAGCGATCCTCAAGTCACACTGACTATATTAAGCCCATATATGGCCTATAAGCCTGAGAACCAGACTGGCCCATACAGGAGAGCATGTGAGCAATCAAGTTTAAAAAGGGAAAGTAATCACAACTGAACTAAAGTAAACACCTCACACGTAGAGTAATGTCACCCAGCAGGTGATCCGGCTGAAGGGCCAGTAGAGGGGGCACACCAGCGCACCAAGCCTCAGGCCTATGGCTCCCAGTCACATAGGCTCTGCTGACATGGGCCATAGTTCTCAGCGACCCGTCCACACCGGCCTGGTGGCCACACAGCGCAAGGGTAGGAAACGGTCCCCCACAGCAAACTGTACAACATTGGCAAGCAAAATTAGAGGAGTGGTCCAGCCTGTGAAAAAAAGAGGTTAAGGGCAGGTATATGATAGTAAGATACACAGGTAATAGCATACATTTAGTACTGGGCCTTCCTCACCCCAGTGCACATTCCATAAATACACAATATTGTCAAAAGTATTGGGATGCCTGCCTTTACAAGCACATGAGCATTAATGGCATCCCAGTCTTAGTCCGTAGGGTTCAATATTGACTTTGCACATATTAAAAACATTTGCAAGGGTATCATTTGTGACTTTTGCACAAATGCTGAAACATTTACACAATTCGTTTTATAAATAGACCCCTTACTATTGTTCTGCACCCTTAATTTGTTCAAACATCAGTTGAGCTATAAAGCATATCTAAACCCTAAAACCAAACATTTTATATATTGCAGCCTACCAGGGTTGCCACCTTTTCTTCAAGGGACACTCTAGCGACGTGCAAACATTTTTTTTGGGAGAATGAGCCGTGGCGTGTTCACATGTAAATAGCACCACCCATTCATATGTAAATATCACAGTTGAGACTATTTTCAGTGGGGGGCCAGTAGCCCCTATCTAAATTTTGGGTGCCCTCGTCTGCTTGACATCTTGTGTCCGGGTTTCAGCTGCCATGAAACCCGAACACAGCATTCAAAACCTGGACTGTCCGGGTGAATCCTGGACAGGTGGCAACCGTACAGCCTACCAGTTATTAGATGTGGTTGCTCTATTTTTTTTTCTTTAATTTTACCTAGTAATCCTGTCAGTGGCACACTTCCTGTCCTAAGGTGACAATGCTCATTCATACTACTGTAACAGGACAACAGAAACAGGATAGGCCTATAGACACATCCTCCTCTCCTCTTTTTCATAACACCGCTCTCTAAGGACTACATCGCGCTGTAATTCTTAGAGAGTGGTGGGAACTATAGTTATTAATAACAGTCGGCAAAGGCAGAGAGCGCAGGAGTTTTTGTATTTATCAAGCAGATAACAAACACAATGCTTCCAATGGCATATTTAACAGACCAGAAAAAAAAGACAAGATAAGTTTTTTTTAATAAGGGTACATACCCTTTAACCCTTTCACCGCCACCGACGTAAGGCATACGGCGCAACAAAAGTGTTCCCGGCTGGCCACCTCATTATGCCTTAAGTCGGTGGCATTTACAGTTCTGCTATAAGCTCATGGTCGATTTAGCGACCATAAGCTTATAGCCGAACTGTTCATCTGACTGTCCCCATCAAAATAATAGCTGTCATCAGCGGCTTGATGACTGCTATTACTGAAAATACGGGGCGCCCCCCCACCCCCGCCGGCACCGCTGCTGCCGGCTATTGAGGATTTGGTGTCCTCAATTTCTTTTTCTATTTCAAAAGGGAAATGTCAGGGATCTGTTTAGACCCCAGAGATGTCACCAACACTAAAAAAAATAAATACAAAATTATTACAAAATAAATAAAAAATGTAAAATAAATAAATAAATAAAATGTAAAACAAAATAAAATGATAAAAAAATGAATAAAAAATGTGTAAAAAAATCACAGCCCCACCGTCCCCCCACATAACACACACATATTGTGGTGGACACCATGCACATGCGCTGCAGTGCGTTGTTAGAACGCATCGCAGTGCATGATCTTTTTTATTTATTTTTGTTCTTTAAAAAAAAAAATAATCAATAGGAAAAAATTGCAAAAAATGCAAAAATGGCTTGGCCAGCTGATTTGAAAAATGTTCCGGAGGGCTTGGCAGTGAAAGGGTTAAAGCTATACGCCAGACAAATATTAATTATTTCACTATTTAATGAAGTTGTGTATACCTTTTTTTTAGAAATCTGTATTTATTTTTATTTTTCAAAGAATTACTATTATTTTAACATATGAATATATTTCATAGGTCTCGCCAACAAGAGAAAAAAAACACACAAGCAGAGAAAAAAAAAAACCAAAAAACATATGACCTGAGATCATACCATTAAGTTATTTAAGATCTTTTCAATCTGTCGTTGAATAACTTAATGCTTACTCTATACAGATATAACCAGGCTACAAATATAGATCTCAGCACGTTATATAGCAGTTAACTAAAGACCTATGTTTAAATATATCTTTGATCAATCATAAATATTTTGTTCAAATAATTGTAACCCATACTAAAGAAAGAAAAAAGAAAGAAAAAGGAGTAGAAAGAATTGTTATATATATATAAAGTAGCCATATAGGAGATCGACAACCGAGACAATAGTTGTAACAATTGCATGCAGAGAAACTGACCTTCCACCAATATCATGAATCCATCATTTCCCTAAAGGTCCCTGAGGAGCAGAAAGGGGACCAGCAACCCCAAGTATGAAGAAATTGTTCTATTCTGTCCATGTCCCCGGCTACCAGCCTCTCCATACACATTAATTCATTCATAACCTCTGCCCAAGCGACCAATGAAGGGACTATATTGGTTTTCCAATGTCTCGAGATCATTGTACGTGCCGCTATTAAACAAAAGCGCAATATGCTGTGTGCATTGGATCTAATAGAACCGGAAAACATAGAAAGGAGGGCCATTTCTGGGGTAGCTTCCATATCTTTGTCTTGTCATTTATTAGAAACTTGAAATAAATTTGCCAGAATAGCTGGCAAAATGGCTATTTTCCCACATTTCTACCATATATGCAAGTAATCCCCACGGTCCAAATCACATCTCCATCAAATATCTGGGTAAGAAGGATACATTTGATGTACCAATGCTGGACATCTATACCATCTTAAGATAAGTTTATAGTTATTTTTCTGATAATGGCTGGAGATTGAGGATGTGTTGTGTATACCTTTCAAAATATTTAAATATATATTGAATACAACTAGCATAAGTACCTGAACATGGCTTGGTATCAGCATGCTGTTATTCCTTGATCAGAGGCACTCAGTCTGAGGACTCAGGGAGGGGAAACTGGGAGCCCATTAGGCTCCGTTAGATACACACGTGTAACATGGTGACAGGAGGAGAGAGCAGAGGATTTTTGTGTGTGGTTGCCCTGATCATCTAATCAGTATACTGCAGGGGGAAGTGACAGCACTTTATTCCTTATTTCAAAAGAGAATGTTGTGTCAACCCCCTGGCTGTGCTGTTTATTACAATATAAAAGTGGCTGAATTACAAATGCTTTGGCAGATAAGATAGTTGACCTATGTGTTTGTTCACTTTGTATTTATATCTCTGCCAGGAGTTCAGCTTTAACTATGTAATCTGCACTTGCTGCAGAATCTTACTGTTTCCAGTCTAATGATTGTAATGGTCTTCATTCCTCAGGAATACACACTCGCTCACAGAGAATTACCCAACACATTACAAGCGTCACAAAACAGACTGAAGAAACATGAAGATTTCTTAGCTACCATGGAAAATAATGAAGATAAGATTGTTGGAACTATGGGAAATGCAAACAAATTAGATAGTGACAAAAACATTTTTGCAGATAAGGCTTTGGACAGAGCAGCCTCAATCCATGATAGGTAAGTGGAATGTTCTTCAGGGGGTTTTAGCTAATTAATTTAGACCAATCTGATATGTAAGAATGCTGAGGGGTATCTGCCTCCCAATGCTCTTGTGCCATTTATTTACAGAAGATCTTTGCATTGCTTTTTATTACATCAGTTGACAGACTTAAGTCTGTTCCATCAGCCTTATGCTGGCCATTAATGGATCAAATTTTAGCCATTTCAGGCTGAATTGGCCAAAATTCAATCCATGGGTGGTCATGTCGGCACCACCCGGTTCAAAAAAATTAGATTTTTTAATTGACTTCTGTTGAAAGGAGCCAGGAGGAAAATTGTTGGCTGAGAAGTGACTTCTGCCAATCAGTGACTGCTGTCACTGTTTAGGCATTCGGACAGCTGCAGGCGTGGGCTGTCAGGATGTAATAGCAGACAGGCTGAGATTTCTGCATCCACACTGTTTAGCGAAAATGGAGGAATCAAAAGATTTCTCTCCTTTAGCCCCGTGAAAATCTTAAGCTGTATATCCAGCTTTAGTATTCAGAAATTATAACAAAAATAGATTACAGGAAAAGTTGGATGGGGAAAGGCTGACAAATATGGAAACCACCAACACCAAACATGCCAGTCAGGATGTATTAACATTTTGGAGCACCTGTGTTTCTCCATCTATCACAGTCACTTTCTGTTAATAGACTTGATGAGATTAAATAATTAAATTTTTTGTTTCCAGCTTACTGCACCTATAAGTGAGAATATCTGTTTACAACTCATGCCAGTTGAAGGCCTAATTAACAATTATACTAACGGTTTATAGGGATATTTATCAAAACTGGAGCAGACAGAATCTGGAGCAGTTGCCCACAGGAAACCAATCAGCTTCTCTCTTTAGTTTATTCAGTTAAGCTTTCAAAATGAAAGAGAGAAGCTGATTAGTTGCCATGCACAACTGTTCCATATTTTGTCTGCTCCAGTTTTGTTAGATTCCCCCTTTATGTGTCCATTAAGTTCTAAACCAATTTAGAAGAAATCAGTTAGTTAATCCCACCAGCATCTAGAACTTTGTTTTTTGAATTTGGGATAGATTTGAAACGAGTAAACACTTTTGTGAAGATTTTATTGCTCTCTGTGACCACATTGGAGAGATTGCATCTCCCTTTTCCTGTAACTGCTCCCATTAAAAAATATGTGCTGCAGCTAGTCATAGCTAGCTCCTTTTGCGCCTGAGGCAAGAACAGAAAATTGTTCCCCCCAACAGACTTGTGATGTTACCCAAATGCAGTTCACCTGCAGCATCAGGTGGCTTCATATGCCCCCGCCTCTAGGATAGCAGCGCACATGCGCAGAATGCGCTGGCGGACAAATCCAAAATAGCATTAAAATGTGTTTCATTTTACGAAACTAATAAAAACATTTTTAGTTTCTGTTCATTTAGTCCAAAACAAATTTTTTGTCTTTGCATTTATCTAATAATATCTGTGTGTGTGTGTGTTTAAGGGGGGGGGTTTGGTTATTTTTTTTTTTTATTAATATTATTATTATTATCATTATTATTATTATTATTTTACACAGAGTCCTCAATCTCTTTTTCTGCAGCATCAGTTATAAATGAAAG